AAAGTACTAGGCCTAAGGCCCTCCCCGGCCTCTCCCTCCCTTAGGATCCGCCTGCCCCCAGGTCCAACCAGGCTCTCTGCGGTCGGGTCCCAGCCCTCCGCCCACCGCACCCCGCGCACCTTCAGCTCCACGGTAGCCCCCGTGGCCCAGTAGACGCCATAGAAGGCTGCCCCCAGGAGTGCTAACACCAGCAGGTTGAGCAGCATCCGCACCAACCATACCCAGGCCCACTGGCCCAGCGTGCGCCCCGCAGCCCGGCGTCGGACCGCGGCTTCCTCCAGCTCCACCTGAGGCCAGTAGAGATGTCCCTTGCATACGTTCTGCCGTGTGTGGTGGTCCTGGGTGCACTGCACACTGAGCTGATGCAACGAGGCCTTTGGAAGTGCTGGCTCCAGCCCTCCAGGACCATCCACTGGGCCATTTGGTGTTCAGGGAAAAGCCCCTCCATCCAAGCCCCGCCCCTCCCTGGCTCCGCCCAGAATCCAGAGGCTCTGCTCCCTCCTTGGTTAGGACCAGGGCCTGAGGTCCCGCCCCCTTAGGCTTCATCAGTCTTCATTGGCTTCATCCAGGACCTGAGGCTCCGCCCCTCCAAGGCCCTGCCCCATATCGTTTTGTTTTGTTTTTGCCAGACGTGGATCTTGAATTCAAAGCCTGGGCAATGTCCCTGAGTTCCTTGTGCTCAAGGCGAGGGCTCTACCACTTGAGCCACAGCGCCGCTCCTGGCTTTTTCTATTCTGTGGAATTGAACCTAGGCTTCCTGCATTGCAAGACAAGCACTCCACCACTGAGCCACATTCCCATTCCCAACCCCGCCCCATACTTGGCTCTTTTCGGCCCCGCCCTTTCTGGGCGCTCCCTCCCTGTCACATAATTCCTCCCCTCCCCCCATTCTTTGACCTCTGGCCTCCCTAGCTGTGGCCTTCTCGTAGCCCCACCATACTCCAAGGCCTGCCTCTTCCCCCCCCCCCCCCCTTGTCAGGCATGGGTCTTAAACTCTGGGCCTGGGCGCTGTCCCTCAGCTCTTCAGCCGAATGCGAGCGCTCTACCACTTGAGCCACTTCCGGTTTTCTGGTGGTTCATTGGAGGTAAGAGTTTGGCCGATTTTCCTGCCCAGGCTGGCTTTGAACAGTGATCCTCAGATCTCAGCCTCCTGAGTAGCTAGGATGAAAGGCGTGAGCCACGGGCGCCTGGCGACCGGCCTCTTTTGAAAGAAGCTCCGCCTGGCTTCTGCGGAGCCGCAGGCCCAGGTTTCCGCACCCCACCTGCGGGCCTCGCGCACCGCCTTGGGCTCTACCGAGCCCCGCCTCCGGGCCCCCCGCGCCCCCCTCCCACGCACCTGCAGCTCATAGCGGATGTGGCGCTGGCGCAGCCCCACGTGCTCCTCTCCACAGAGGCCGAAGTCCCAGGCCGAGAACACGCGGTGGCTGTAGCTGGTCAGAGCCCCGGACTCGGCCAACAGAGTCTGCCTCAGCCCGGACACGGAGCTGCGGGGAGGGAGGAGGGCAGGGTGGGTGGGCGGGGCCCCTGAGGACACCCGCACCGTGAAGACACGGGGTCCGCGGAGATCCCGGACCCCCAGGGCCAGCACCCAGTAGGAGGTAGGCCTGGAACGCAGACCCAGGACGCAGGGACAGAGGGGGGAGGGGCAGGGCTCCGAGGCGGGAAGGAGGCTGCGGTGACCCCGTGCCCGGAGGGGGGGGGGTCACTGACCGGCGCAGGATGAGCAGCAGGCAGACAAAGCCGGAGGCGAAGACGGAGCACAGGTAGGTGAGTGCCAGCGTGGGCCGAGGTGGGTAGAACCCATAGAAGAGAGGGGACCATTCCAGGTAGCCCTGCGGAGGCGGAGGCGAAGGCAGCCAGTCACCGTGGGGCCGGGCGGGGGCCGGGCCACCGGCGCGGTGTGAAGGCCGCGGTGCTGCACGGGTCACCGAGCACGCGAGGCGCCCCGGCCAGCGGAGGCCCGCGGTGCCCCTGCCTCACCTCTCCAGAGAGCAGGTTGAAGATCTGTGTGGGAAAGGTAACCAGGCCCTGGGCATGGGGGTTGTACGAGCCGCAGGACGAGGCCTTGGGCCCCGGGGGCCCCGGGGGCGCCCCATCCAGCCAGGCCGGCAGCAGCTTCATGCAGACCTCGAACACCGACGCCACCGCGTTGAGCAGCAGCAAGAAGCGCAGAAGCGAGAAGTAGCACTCAGTGCCGCCGCCAAACTGGCCTGCAGGGGCAGCAGAGAGGACTTGGCGTCCTTCCCCAGACACAGGCCTCCTCCCTCAGACCCGGGGCCCGGACCCCCGCTCCTGGCTTCCTTCCTCAGATCTAGGGGTCTGGACCTCTGGGCTTCTCTCTCAGACCTAGGGGTCAGAACCCCCCAGCCTTCTCCCTCAGACCTGAGGGTCCAGGCCCCAGCCTCCTCCAGACCCCACCATACCCCCAATCTTCTTCAGTGTCCATGCCCAGGGCTGCAGGGTTCGCACTCCTTCCTTCATCTTTTCTTTTGACCGGGAAAGCAGCCTGGCCCAGTGGGCAGCCCAAGACCCAGAGATGTATGCCGCTGGGTCTTTGGACTGGCTCTTCCTGGAACATAAATAAAGTCAGAAAGGGAGCCAGTCAAAGGTAGAAACAAGCAGCTACAAGTGAGGAAAGAAACTGTGGTACACTACAGTACTCATAAATACAATACTCTGCAGCACAAAGGTAGAATACTACGTAGCAGCAAAAAAGAAACCAACCAAATTCATGCTTGAGAGGCAAAGTAGGAAAGAAAAAAGATAGACTCTAGAGTTGGAGGCAGCAGGATCCTAAGTTCAAGGCCAGTATGAACTAGAAACCTCGTTTAAAAAAAAAATCTGGGCCGCGCGCTGGTGGCTCACGCCTGTAATCCTAGCTACTCAGGAGGCTGAGATCTGAGGATCGAGGTTCAAAGCCAGCCCGGGCAGGAAAGTCCGTGAGACTCCTATCTCCAATAAACCACCAGAAAACCGGAAGTGGCGCTGTAGCTCAAGTGGTAGAGCGCTCGCCTTGAGCTGAAGAGCTGAAGGACAGCGCCCAGGCCCAGAGTTCAAGCCCCATGACCGACCAAAAAAAAAAAAAAATCTGGGCACTGTTGGCTCACACCTATAATCCTAAACTGCTCAGGAGGTGGGACATCAGGATCATAGTTCAAAGCCAGCCAGGGCAGTAAACTCCCAGAATTAACCACCAGAAAGCCAGAAGAAGCATTATGACTCAAAGTGGTAGAGCACTAACCTTGAGCAAAATTGCCCAGGACAGTACCCAGGCTCTGATTTCAAGCCCTACCCCAGACAAAAAATTAAAAAGAAAAAAAAAAAATAAAGCCAATCATGTTGGTTCATAACCACAATTCCCGGACAAAGACACTCTCGAAAAAAGAGGGCTGGGAAGGTGGCTCAGTGGTAGAGTACTTACCTAGCAGGCATGAAGCCCTGGGTTTAATTCCTTAGTACCACATACACAGAAAAGGCTGGAAGTAGCACTATGGCTCAAGTGGTGGAGTGCTAGCCTTGAGCAAAAAAAGAAACTCAAGGGATAGTGCCCAGGCCCTGAGTTCAAGCTTGGCACCAGTGGCTCATGCTTGTAATCTTGTAATCTTAGTTACTAAGCAGGCTGAGACATAGAAGATTGTGGTTCAAAGCCAGCTCAGGTAGGAAAGTTTATGAGACTCTGATGTCCAGTGAACCACCAACAAGCCAGCAGTAGAGGTGTGGCTCGAGTGGTAGACAGTTGGCTTCAAGTGAAGAAGCACAAGCAAGAGCTCCCAGGCCCTGAGTTCAAGTCCCACTACTGACACAAAACCCCAGAGAGGTTGTCTCCCAGCTCTCTGGTGGCGGGATGGGGTGGGGTGGGGAGGGGCAGGCACTCGCCTGTGAGCCCTTCTTGCCTCCATGGGCCATGGCAGTTCCCGGGAGGGGTGCAGATCCTGAAGCTGCATTGGGGTAACTTCTGGGAAGGATTGGGGGCTCTTCCCTCCATCCTGCTCCTCGTCTTCCAGCGCTCCCCAAGGCAGCACGCCCGGACCGCGGTAGCGGAGGGTGGCAGCGCTGGGGAGCTCATTCAACACAGAGGACAGGGACCGGCCTGGCGGGAGAGTAGAGGGCTGGGGAGGCTCGGATGTCCAGGCCCTAAACCTCCTCCCTCAGACGCAGAGTCCAGGCCTCAGCCTTCTCCCTCAGACCCAGGGGTTCCAGACCCCAGCTTCTTCCCTTAGACATGAAAGTCCAGGCCCCAGCCTCCTCCCTCAGACCCAGGGGTCCAGACCCAGCCTCCTCCCTCAGACCCAAGGGTCCAGGCCCAGCCTCCTCCCTCAGACCCAAGGGTCCAGGCCCAGCCTCCTCCCTCAGACCCAGCCTCATTCCTCAGACCCAGGGGTCCAGACTGCTAAACTTCCCCCTCCACAAGAGCAGAAGAGTATCTCCACTCAATTTGAATTAAGTCTGAGAAGCCCAGTGTCCACTTCCTTCTCCCTATTCAGGAGCCTGGGATCTCAGTCCCAGCCCTGGCTGGGCCCCTCCTTCCGCACAGAGCTGGTCTCCATCTCCTCCCTAACCCAGGGCCTGGCTCCAAGGCCCTTCCCAATAACGGGGGAGAGCCTTTCCCTTCAGCCCTCAGGGCCCCCTCCGCCTGGCCCCCTTCACCAACTCCCAGGTTCTGAGGGGGACAGGACCAGGACTCCTCTGGTACTCACCTCCTCTGGCCCCCTGGGGGGCTGTCCACCCCCCAGGGGGGCCCCAGGCTCCGGAATACTGGGCCAGGTTCTCCTCCATGGCAGGGCTGTTTCCTTGTAACTCTAGTGGCTCCCAGGGTGGAGCCCAGAAAAGGTGGGGCGGTACCTGGCCACCAGGTGGCCACTGGGGAGCATAGCGCACTTCCTAGAGCCCCAGGCCTCCTGGGAGGCGAAGTCCGCCTGTCAGGTGGCTGGTCACACCCGTCCTGCCTGTGCTTGCTGGTGCCCCACATCCCCGCTGGTTTACAGTCTCACACCCACAGGCCTGTGCAACACTTTATTGGGAAAAGATTTACAGTTCCGAACTGTGTCAGGCCCAGGACCACAGGAATGGGGGGTCTGGAGGTGACCCTGCAGGGGCACCCCGTCCCCCATGTCCTCCATCCCCAGCCCAGTTTCCCCTTGCTGGATCAAGACACAAGAGGTTCTCTCTGTCCCAGAACCTGGCCTTGATGCTCCTGTCACCATTGGTATGTGTATGTACAACAAGGATTGAAGACACATCTCCACAGGCCCCTCTTCAGCACTGGGGAGGGAGAGGGAGGAAAATGACACACGTGTAACCCTCTATTCACCCTCAGGTGGAGCAGCCGGGAGGCCGGTGTGGGCAACACCCACCTCCCTGCTGGGCGCAGGGCCTCCCTGGTGAGGGGCACCTCAGCCTTGCCTCACACACGGTGGTTAGCTGAAGGAGATGGGGGGGGTGCTCTTCGACCCCCCCCTCGGGCAGCCCCTTGCTGAGAGAGGAGACAGTGGCCTGGTTCGTGAACATCCTGCAGCTCACTCTTCCCGAAGCTTCTCCTGGGCTGGCGGGGAGGCCTGGGCCGGCGTGGCCACCTTCCTCCGGCGGGGACCACCCCCCCCCAGCGCCAGGCCCAGCCCCAGCCCAGCCAGGGCTAGGACGTGGATGCAGAAGTAGACAGAGGCCCAGTACCGGAGCGTGTCGGCCATGGACAGCAGCACAAAGCCCATGCACATGTAGTCGTAGGCTCGCATCTTCAGGAGCCAGTGCACCCAGTCCCAAGCCTGCTGGCCACCGGGGCCCAGCCGCGGGCGCACAGCCGACTCCAGAGAGCCCTCGGCTGCCAGGCACAGCGGGATGGTCAGGAAGCTCAGGTAGTAGCCGGGGTGCAGGCCATGCCAGTAGGCGCTCAGCAGCATGGTCCAGGCACTCCTGGGGGAGGGGGTGCGGTCAGAACCTGGAAATCTAACATCCAGGTCCCAGCCTTCTCCCTCACACCTAGACATCTTCCTCCCTGGCTCTGAGGGCGGAGGAAGCTGTGGGCTCTGTCTCATGCTCAGGGCTCCTCCTCCCTCAGGACTAGAAGTCTTAACTCCCCCACCCCCTTTTTATTGGTGCCAGTCCTGGGACTTGAACTCAGGGCCTGGATGCTGTCCCTGAGCAACTTTGTGCTCAAGGCTAGCGCTCTACCACTTGAGCCGCAGTGCTACTTCCCGCTTTTTCTGTGGTGCTGAGGAATCGAACCCAGGGCTTCATACATGCTAGGTAAGCACTCCACAAATGAGCCACCTTCCCAGCCCCTAGAAATCCTAACTCTTTAGCCTCCAGACTGTCAAAGCAGATCCCAGGGTCTGGAGTATCATCTTAGAACTTGTCAGAAACACAAATTTTTTTTTTTTTGGTTGGTGGTGGACCTTGAACTCTGGGCCTGGGCGTTGTCCCTCAGCTCTTCAGCTCAAGGCTAGCTCTCTACCACTTGAGCTACAGCGCCACTTCTGGTTTTCTGGTGGTTTATTGGAGATAAGAGTTTCATGGACTTTCCTACCCGGGCTGGCTTTGAACTGAGATCCTCAGATCTCAGCCTCCTGAGTAGCTAGGATTACAGGCGTGAGCCACCAGCGCCCGGCTAGAAACACAAATTCTTAGCCAAGAGGCTGAGTTCTGAGGTTCAAAGCCAGCTTGGTAGACAAACATGAAATTCTTTATCTCCAAGTAACAAGCAAAAACCTGGAAATGGAGATGTAGCTCATGTGGCAGAGTACCAGCCTTGAGTAAGAGATGCTATGCAAGAGTGCACAAGGCCCCGAGTTCAAGCTCCCTTAATTGCGTGTGTGTACACACACACACACACTGCAAAGCCCCAAGTCTAAACCCCAGTGCCGCCTAAAATTTAAAACCTCAACCCACTGAGCCAGCACTTTCTCAGCCACACATTACTAAGTCCAGTACCTCATTTATGTCATTTCATCTGCCAATCAAGTAAGTTATCTCCATTGAACAGCTGTGGAAACCAAGAGGTCAGCCAGCCCCTCGGGGTTCCTCAGTGAGCCACATGTGGGCAGCACACTGTTTCTATGGAAGGCTGACCTTAGGCCTAGGGGTTTATCCCAGCACAAGCCAAGGAAACTACAATTTCCATGAGCCTCAGGGGCAGGGGCTTAGCTGCAACCATAGGCATGCCACCAAGGCAGCTGGGTAATGTAGTCCTGTGCTGTCAGGGGGGTGGGGTGTCCCCTCACCTCAGGACGTAAGAGCGAGCAGGTGCGCTCTTGTAGATGTACTGAGCCAGCCACCATTGCACCGTCATGTTCCAGTACCGCATGCCGTCCCGCACCCGCACGCAGAAGTCGGTGTTATAGCAGTCGATGTTGCGGATGGTCTCATAGTCATACTCCAGGGAAGTGGCCTCCTCCGGACTGAGGGGTGGGGTGGGGTAGACATGCAGCTCAGCCAGGCCCCGCCGCCAGCCCCGCTCCTGTCCCAGCCCCAGTGCTAAGGAGGGGGTTCTGCCCAAGGGACAGCACTTGCTCCGGCTGCCACATTTGCTAAGGCCACCGCGCGGGAGGCTCCATGGGGGGGTGGCACAGCTCACTCAGGGCCTCTTCTTCCCTTGGTCACTGACTACTGGGGTCTACCACAGCCACAAAACACCTGGGAGGGGGGGCAAGGAGGGTTCAGCTGCTAAGCCCGGAAGTCCTCTAGCAAGCAGACTCAGTTATTCAGGGCGGCTTCCAACATAGACAGACACAGCAGCTGCTAAACAAGTGTCCTAAGGAGGTGGCTCATGGTTGCTAAGGAGACGTGTAGAGTGGTGACTCTCCGGGATCTGTTGCTAGGGAAAAGGCATTCCTTAGCAACAAGCCTGCATCCCCCTTCAACTCCCCCCCCACCCCAGGGAAGATTCCAGAGCAAGTCTTTTTCCTGGTCCCTGTGTGTGCTCAAGAAGTGTCACCGCCAGGAACTTTGAGGTTTCCAGGTCACTGACGCAAACAGCTCAGCACTGGGAACCAGGCTTAGCTTGTGCAAATGCCCCGTGGCTTCTGTGACTGGATGGAAGCATTCTTTTTTTTTCTTTGTCCCTCATGGGCCTTGAACTCTGGGCCTGGGTGCTGTCCCTCAGCTCTTCAGCTCAAGGCTAGCGCTCTACCACTTGAGCTACAGCGCCACTTCTGGTTTTCTGGTGGTTTATTGGAGATAAGAGTTTCATGGACTTTCCTGCCCAGGCTGGCTTTGAAATGCGATCCTCAGATCTCAGCCTCCTGAGTAGCTAGGATTATAGGCGTGAGTCACCGACGCCTGGCTTGGAACCATTCTTTAGGAGTGGGTTTGGTAGAGTTAGAGGACTTTAGCAGCTGGAGTTCCACCCACAATGACAAGGGCAGTGATGGTTAAGTTCACAGAATGGCAGTTTGTGACTGCTAAGGGAGTGGCAAACCCTTAGTAAGGAGTAGGCTTGAACTCAGGTCTGGACACTGTCCCTGAGCTCTTTTGCTCAAGGCTAGTCCTCTATCACTTTGTGCCACAGCTCCACTTCCAGATTTTCTGAGTGGTTAGTTGGAGAAAAGTCTCATGACTTTTTTTTTTTTTTTGTCCAGGGCTGGCTTTGAACCATGGTCCTCATCTATCAGCCTCCTAAGATTATAGGCGTCCACCAGCGCCTGGCTAGGAGTGATTTTTTTTTTTTTTGTCCCTCATGGGGCTTGATCTCTGGGCCTGGGCACTGTCCCCCAGCTTTTCAGCTCAAGGCTAGTGCTCTACCACTTGAGCCACAGCACCACTTCTGGCTTTTTCTGCTTATGTGGTGCTGAGGAATTGAACCCAGGGCCTCATACATGCAAGGCAAACACTCTACCTCTGAGCCACCTTTCCAGCCCCAGAGTGATTCTCCACTGGCACAGAAAGCTGGTGCCCCTCCCTGCCCCAAGCCAGAAAGATCCAGAAAGAGGCTCATCCGATGCTAGGGATGCCATTTCCCTAGCAACACAGAAGCTAAATGTTCTCAAGACAGCTGGACACTCTCTAGCCCTGTGACTTATAAAAATGTCCAGGCTGGGGCTGAGGTTCAGATTCCTGGCCACAGGAAGATGGTCTGTGGTCTGGGAATGGACTCCCCTCGGCTGGCGGCAAGCAGTTAAGTGAATGCTCTTCCCTTCCAAACAGGGGCTGGCTCTCGGCCACTCAGGGGCCCCTGTGGGGGTGCAGGTCCTGTAGTCACAATGAGTAAGACTTCTTGCCAGGCACAGGTGGCTCACACTTGTCATCTGAATTACCCAGGAAGCTGAGATCTGAGGAACACAGTTTGAAGCCAGCCTAGGCAGCAAAGTCCTTGAGACCCTTATCTCCAATGAACCAGGGGAAGAAAAGAAAAAAAAGCCAGAAGTGGAGTTGTGGCTCAAGCGGTAGAGCTTTTGAAAGACCTAAGGCACAACCCTGAGTTCAAGCCCCAGCACTAGCACTAAATAGATAAATAAATAAATAAATAACTTTTGGAAAGGAGTGACCCCACGGTCTGTAGGGATCCTGTTTCCCTAGCCAAGGGGCTTAACACTACCACAGAATGGCACCTCCAGCCCCCAAGCACGGTGTGATTCTGGGGGTGACACTTTCATGGCAACACCAGGTGAATGTGTGGTTGCTATTCTACCACACTCCTCTCCCTAGCAACAGAGGATGACTCACCACACCGAGGGGGGGGCGGGACAAGCGCTAGCAACAAAGGAGGGGCCACTTCCCCACAGCCTAGAGGAGAGAGGGGGTAGAAGGGGAAGGGGGGCAGGGGGGGACACACAGCCTGTGGCAGGGCGGTGGCCCTGCCCTGGTCACTCCCCGCTCTCCTCCCCACTCAGGGGCAGGCCCAGCCCTTGGTGATGGGGCCTGCCGGGTCTTGGGGGGGCGTCCCTCCCGCCTGACCTGCTGGGGGGTGGGCATTGGAGGGTGGGGCCGCCCCCGGCCCGGGCTTTGGCGGCCACGGGATAGGCCCCGAAGCCAGCAGCAATGCAGCCACACTCGGCCGCGATCCACGCCACGTAGAAGCGCATGCGGAAGGCGAAGAAGACAGGGATCATGTAGAAGAGGCGGGCGGGCAGCGGGCGGGCGTAGAAGGCATCCTCACGCACGGCCTCCAGTGGGAAGAGGTGGGAGGAGAGCAGGAAGAGCAGGCCGAAGAGTGGGGCCGGCCAGGCGCGGCACAGTAGGGGCCGCAGGCTGGGCACCGCCTCAGGGAAGGGCTGCTCCAGCCAGTCCAGGTATGTGCGGTAGCGGAAGAAGGGACCTGGGGAGCCAAGAAGGGGCAGGCAGTCAGATCTGTGTCAGGACCCGGGCAGGAGATGGGGGAGAGGGGCTGAAATTGCAGACACCCAAAGGATGGGGACAGGGAGCTAGAGTCAGAGGGGACAAGGGACTCAGGGAGAAAGAGCAGAAAATTAGAGCCGGGCACTGGTAGCCCACACCTGTAATCTCCGCTACTCAGGAGGCTGGGGCAAAGTTTAAACACAGCCCAGGGCAGAAATGTCTGAGAGATTTTTGTGTGTGTGTGTGGGGGGGGGAGATCAGTCATGGAACTTGAACTCTGGGCCTGGGTGCTGTCCCTCAGCTCTTCAGCTCAAGGAGAGTGCTCTACCACTTGAGCCACAGAGTCACTTCCAGTTTTCTAGTGGTTTATTATAGATAAGAGTCTCATGGATTTTTCTGCCCGGGATGACTTTGAATTGAGATCCTCAGATCTAGGATGGCAGGTATGAGCCACCAGTGCTGAGAAATTCTTACCTGCAATTAACTAGTAAAAAGCCAGAAGTACAGCTGTGGCTGTGGCTCAAGTGGTAGAGAACCTTGAGCAAACTGTTAAGGGAGGGTGTCCAGACCCTAGTGAGTTACCACACACATACACACGCAGAGGGACGCTGGGAATGAAGGGATTGGGACTCAGGGTGGAGACAGGTCAGACTGGAGGTGGGGTGATTTCCCTGTGAACCAGTCATGGAAGAGAAAATAGATGGGAGATGGGAGCCAATTAGGGACGGATGGAGACCACTTAAAGATGTTTCTTTTGGGGAAGATGAAACTGTTCCACAGAGAGATGGTGTTTGTGTAATTCTGTTTAGGTTAAGGAGATCATGAGTTCAAGGCCACCCTGGACTATGCAGCAAGGACCTGCCTCAAAACACAGGCTGAGTTGGGCACTGGTGGCTAACACCTGTAATCCTAGCTACTCAGGATGCTGAGAGCTGAATTGCGGTTCAAAGCCAGGTTCAAAGCCAGCCCGAGCAGGAAAACCCATGAGACTGTTATCTTCAATAAACTACTCAGAAAAAGCCATAAATGGTGCTGTGGCTCAAGTGATAGAGCACTAGCCTTGAGCCACAGAAGCTTAGGGACAGCGCCTAGGCCCTGAGTTCAACCCTACCATTGACACAAACAAACGCATGTCTGCAGCACTGTGGCTCTGGTTGTAGAGGAATCAAGCCTTCAGGTTGACAACATCACCCACTAGAGCAAATGGATTCGAGCAGAAGAGCTGGACCAGCCTGGGCACAGGCAGGAGGTTCTGGGTGGGGTGGGGTGGGGCGGGGTGGGGCGGGGCGGGATGGGACGGGACTGGACAGGAAGAGAGAACAGGCCAGGAATTCCAGTGAAGGGGGAGCAGGGTGCAGAGGTGGATGTGTGGGGCAGGCCCACTCACCTGTCATGATCCCCACGTAACAGTAGCTATAGCTGAGCGTCTCCATCAAGGAGGGGACTTCGGGCAGCAGCCCCACGGGGGGCTCCTTGCTGAAGCCGGAGGCCATTTCCTTCCTCTGGGCCAGGTGCAGGTCCTGGACTTCACTGGCCAGGCTCACCAGCTGGGGGAATGGGGATAGGTGCAGGTAGGGCCTGGTCAGCTCCAAGGCCCTCCAGGTGGGGCTGAGATCTCAAACTGGTGGAGAGTACAGCTGGGGCCTTCCCAGAGCTCAGTCTTAGGGCATGCATGCTGTCACGTGATTGCACATGTATCTTTACATACCATCCACATGCAATACCATCACATACACACACACACACACACACACACGCACACACACATCCTTTCCTGGAGTATAAGAACCTATCCAGAACTGTAACCCCTCTGTACAGCATCTTTACAATAAATTAAAGAAAAAAAAAAGAACCTATCTAGCATTTCCTGTCGCCATTTATGCCTGGAGGTCTCCAGGGGGTCAAACTTAACACCCTCACAATGGAACACAACACCCCCCATTTGCTAAAGCAAATCTAGTGCTTTTCTCAGAGAAAGAGGGTGCTACAGAGCCTCCCTCACCCCCAGACCCTACCCATCTAGTCTTTCCCCTCCTTTCTGCCTGCACCAGAGGCCTATGGCTGTCCTCCTGCCTCTCCATATCCACTCTGAAGCTGTACAGAGGCAACAGGTGTGTGTATGGCTTCCTGCCTCATTCAGTGGCCAGAGCCTAGTAGATGGAAGGCAGGAGGTGAGCTGAGGACACTAGAAAGATGGCGCCACACAACACTTATTCTACAAAGCTCCAGAACCAACCCCACCCAGGATTGTCAATAGCTCTCAACTCCTGCACTGCCCCTTCCCCTCCTCTCTGTCCTGCCCTCCACCAGGGTGAATAAGCATCCCTGGAATTATTCCCAAAGCAGCATTTCCTGCAGGAACTCTGCCACCTTCCAGCAGAAAGAGTGCATCCAGCTGCCATCACTGGCCACCAGCCGGTTCATAAAGGAATCTTGTCTCATCTAGCCTTGCTTTGCTCCCTTTAATTTTCCTCTTGGCTTCCAGGGTGAATTATCATAATTTTTTCTTTTGCGCCAGTCCTGGAGCATGAACTCAGGGCCTGGGCTCTTTTGCTCAAGGCTAGTGTGCTACCGTTTGAGCCACAGCTCCACTTCTGGGTTTCTGGTGGTTCACGGAGATAAGAGCCTAATGGGGGCTGGGAAGGTGGCTCAGTGGTAGAGCGCTTGCCTTGCATGCCTGAGGCTCTGGGTTTGATTTGTCAGCACCACATAAGCAAAAAGAAAAAAGTCGGAAGTGGCGCTGTGGCTCAAGTGGTAGAGCATTAGCCTTGAGCTGAAGAGCTGAGGGACAGTGCCCAGGCCCAGAGTTCAGGCCCCACAACCGGACCAAAAAAAAAAAAAAAAAAAGAGCCCAATGGCTTTCCTATCTAGGTTGGCTTTGAACCATGATCCTCAGCTCTCAGCCTTCTGAGTAGCTGGGATTACAAGGGCAATGTTTTTTGTTTTTTTTTTTTTGGTCAGTCATGGGGTTTGAACTCAGGGCCTGTGCGCTGTCCCTGTACTTTTTTTTTTTTTGCTTAAGGCTAGAGCTCTACTACTTTCAGCCACTGCCCACTTCCGGTTTTCTGGTGGTTAATTGGAGATAAGAATCTCTTGTACTTTCTTTTTTTTTTTTTTTTTTTTTTTAATTTTTTTTTTTTGGTCCAGTCGTGGGGCCTGAACTCTGGGCCTGGGTGCTGTCCCTCAGCTCTTCAGCTCAAGGCTAGCACTCTACCACTTGAGCCACAGTGCCACTTCCGGCTTTTTTCTTTTTGCTTATGTGGTGCTGAGGAATCGAACCCAGGGCTTCAGGCATGCAAGGCAAACGCTCTACCACTGAGCCACCTTCCCAGCCCTCTCTTGTACTTTCTTATCTGGACTGGTTTCCAATTGGGATCCTAAGACCTCAGCCTCCTGAGTAGCTAGGGCAACAGGTGTGAGCCACCAGCGCTCAGCTAAGGGTGAATTATTTTAAAATATACAACACTGGTCACACTCCCTCTCTCAGAAACAAACCCCAAACAAAAATCCTTTTCTTTTTGGGCGCCAGTGGCTCACACCTGTAATCCTAAGTACTCAGGAGGCTGAGATCCGCTCTCAGTTCGAAGCCAGCTCAAGGAGGAAAGTCTGTGAGACTCTTATGGCCAACAAACCACCAATAAGCCAGAAATGGAGCTGAGGCTAAAGTGGTAGGGCACTAGTCTTGAGAACAAAGCTCAAGGGCACCAAGGCCCTAAGTTCAAGCACTAGGATGAGCAGAAAAAAAAAAAAATTAAAAAGCTTTAAAAAAATTTTTTTGGTCCCTGCAGGAAGTTCAGACTTTCACCATGGCCAGCAAGACCTTGTGGACTGGCCGCACAGTCCAGCCTGCCCTGTGCTCTGCAAAAATTGGATGGGGCCGGGCGCCCGTGGCTCACGCCTATAATCCTAGCTACTCAGGAGGCTGAGATCTAAGGATCTCAGTTCAAAGCCAGCCCGGGCAGAAAGACTGTGAGACTATCTCCAATAAACCACTAGAAAACCGGAAGTGGCTCTGTAGCTCAAGCGGTAGAGCACTAGTCTTGAGCTGAAGAGCACAGGGACAGCGCCCAAGCCCAGAGTTCAAGCCCTATGACCAACAACAACAACAAAAAAAGTGGATGGGGCAGGCAGTGTGTGTGTGGTGCTCTGCCCACTGGGCTGCAGACATCTTGGCAGGCTCGTCTCCAGCTCTCCACTTGGCTGGCCAACCTGCCTATCTTTGAACTCCTGATAAGAACACGAAAGGCTGGAGAAACCAGTTCTCAAGCTCAGGGTTCTGTTCCCTGATCTCCATCACCAGATCCTTGACATATTAGGAAACCAGCTCTGTGTTGGTTGAGGGCAGAGGCCATGTCTGTTTTTACCCAACTGCACAGGTGATGAAGAGGCAGAGCTAGACTCAAGGAGCACTGGACAGGCACACTCCAGTGCCAAATCACACCTCCTGTTGGAGTACGTGGGCCATTTCTTTACTCCAAAACAAGTGGAGAGGTGAAGACTTGCTCACGAGTATGTGACTGGTGAACCTTGTCCCTAAGCAAGTGGCAAAGGCTGGTGCCCAGGGCTGCCCCCTCCCCCCATAGGGATGAGGAGGAGGAGGGTAGGTGTGGGAGGAACTGGCTCCCAGGGAGGATGAAGGGAGTATCGCAATACCCCCAAGTCTGACCTTCAGTGTCAACAGCAGCTGGACGGCGTTGGTGAAGGGTGTGGGAGTGGGCAGGCCCAGCAGGCTGAGGGCTCGGAAGAACAGGAGGTAGGAGAAGGTCCAGGCCAGAGCCAGGGCGTGGCAGGAGCTGGGGCAGAGGTGGGAGGCGGCTGTGCTGGACACAGGGACCTTGGTCCCTGCTTCCCCGTTCCCAGGGTCTAGCCACAAATCCTCCCCCATCTCTTCCCACTCAAATAGAAAACAGGAGGGCAGAGAGGGGACAGAGGATGGCAGGCAGGCAATGCAGCCACATGGAGGAAAACAATGAAGACAGATAAAGGAAAGTTCCGGATCTGAGGATGAAGGTTCAAAGCCAGCCTGGGCAGGAGAGCCTGTGAGACACTTATCTCTAAGTAGCCAACAAAAAGCAGGAAGTAGGGGGTGGGAAGATGGCTCAGTGGTAGAGGGCTTGCTTTGCATGCATGAGGTCCTGGGTTCGATTCCTCAGAATCACATAAACAGAAAAGCCGTAAGTGGCGCTGTGGCTCTTGAGCTAGCCTTGAGCTAAAGAGCTCAGGGATGGCACCCAGGCCCAGAGTTCAAGCCCCACGACCAACAGAGGGGGGAAAAAAAAGCAGGAGGTAGATCAGTGGCTGAAGTGTAAAGCACCAGTCTTGAGGGGAGAAAGCAGGAGAGAGTTGTTCAGGCCCTGAGTTCAAGCCTCAGTGCCAGCACATAGAAAAAAGTAAGTAAAAAGAGAAGTTTCGGGTGAAGACCTTTCAGTCCTCCATTTTTTCTTTCAGCACCAACATCAGGATAGTGGGTGGAGGTGGGAGAGATGCATAACTGAATGGTGACAGGCCCAACTATGACTATGTATAGAAGACTGAGGTGCAGGAGACAGGAGAAGACAAGACAGACTAGACACAGGACAGAGGAATAAGAGATAAAACAGGAGACATCAAGAGAATAAAGCAGAAGCAGCAAAGACCCACAGAGGAAACAGGCTGCTTCCTCCTCTCCCTCCTTCCCTCCTCCTCCCCACATCTCACCAGGGCTGAGCCTGAATGAGGGCCCAGGTCCCCAGAACTGTGACCAGGGAGTGTAAAGTGTGGGGGCCACAGGTGAACAAGGTGAACCCCAGGCCCACTGCTGCTGCCCCCCATCTCTTCAGCCCAGGTCCTGCAGGAGAAAGGGGACAGTGTGTAAGTCTAGAATCTTCTGGGGGGGGGGGAGAACCCCACCTGCCTCTGTCCCCGCCCACCTTTTATTTTCCACTGAGGGAACCTGACTCACCAGCCTTCTTAAAGAGGAAGCCGATGGGGATGGAGATAAGGAGAACCACTAGGTAGGTCCATTCTTCGGGTGACATGGTCTGGAGAAGCGAGGCGGGGCGGGGTGGGGGAAGAGCAGGGGCTCACAGTAAGAACCCAGGTGTGGCCTGCGGTCCCAGTCCTCCCGCGGAGAACGAAGGGGCCGATCCGGCCCCACCTCCTAGAGACAGGCCCTGAATCCTCTCCTCCCAGGATCCAGAACTTCCACTTCTTCCCGAATGCAAAAAATAAAACTACCCCCCTGACCCCTTCTAAGACCTCCTTCCGGTTGGGACCCCAAAACAGTCTTCCGGACTCAGAATACGGCCCTGCCTCTTCCTCTGAGGACCCCAGGACCCCTCCATGTCCCTCCGGGGTCCCCCACAACCTCTCCCTCTTCGGAAACCCGGAGCCACTCCCACCACGTCGACCGAGCAGCCGGAGGAGGCTAGGCCTCCAGCCCCACTCTCTTCGGAGCTCCGGGGCCTCGCCCACCTCGACCCGACAGCCGATCGCCTCACCCCCAAGCCTCAGGTTCCGCGCACGCGGCAGCCCGGCGCGGAGTCCGACCCGACCGGGCGGAGCCCTAGGCGTCTATCCCCGCATTCGGCCCACATGCGGGCCCGCACTGCCCGCACCCGGCCCTCTGCGGATCGGCCCTGCCCGCACTCGGCCCGCACTCCCCGCACCCGAGCCCACCTGCCCATCCGCGCCTCCTGCACCCGGCCCACCTGAGCCGCCCACCGGGCGGGAGGAGGCCAGGCAGCCCGAACCCGAGCCCAGCGCGGTCCGCGCCACACCTCCTCGCTCAGCACGTCTCCGCACCGTCAGATCCCGCAGGGCTTGGTCACAGCCGCCGTCAGGGATCGGGAGGGGCACAGCAGGAACGCGCCCGAGACCCGACCACCGGGCCGCGTTCGAACTGCGGAGCTAGGGCGCAGAGCCGGGAGTACGTGAGGGGGCGTGGCCTCGGGGCGTGGCAAGGGCGTGGCTCCGGGCCCCGAGGGACGCGGGATTGGATCCTTGGAGGGGCGTGGCCAGAGCTGGGCTCCCGGGAGGGGGAGGGGCCTGCGCAGGGCTCCTTCCGGCACAGTGCGCAGCTCGCCTACACGGCTCGGGGGCGGGCCACTGGCCTGGGCTTTCTCCGAGGCTAGACGCGAATTTCAATCGTGGCTCCGGAGTGGGCAGGGCCACAAGCTCCGGTTTATTTGAAAACAATCAAGTATGCGATACCTTGGTTTAGTGATAGGCGGATCACGGAGTTTTTTTTGGAGGAAAGAAGGACCCTCACGAGAGGTACAGAGCCCTGGAGGACCCGGGGGGCGGGACCATGAGTAATCTTCCCACCCCCGCGGGGGCGGGGCCAGCGCGGGCGGGGCCAAGGACCAGGCGTGGGCTGGGTCAGCAAGGTCCGCGGGGCGGGGTCATAGCCCTGACGTGGGCGGGGCCAGCGTGGGCAGCGGGGCGGGGCGATGGTCCTGACGTGGGCGAACCCAGACTTTGCTTGGCTGCGTGGCGGAGTGACGAAAGTGACTCCTGGGGTCGGCATGGTGGCGGGGTAGGAAGCCGCGCCGGATGCGCTCAGTAGGGGCAGTTTCCGCCTTGACTGTGAGTTGTTTACAAAGTGAAGGCCTGGCTCCACCGGAGGACAGGGCGACATTCTGAAGAGGAGCGAGGACGCACACTGAGCGCTCCCGAGTGTGGTGAGCCTGCCCAGCAGACACCGGTGACCTGGGAGCTGTGGGGTTCACTCGTGGGGCGGGAACTTCCCTAAGTCGGGGAGCGCTGGTGGCTGGAGGGGGCGGGGCCACACGCTGCGGGGTTGCTGGGGGCCTCTGAGGCCCGAACGCTCCAAACCTCGCGTTTGGGAAGAGGGCCGCAGCTTGGGGCAAAGGGAGGAGTCCCGAACTTGGAATCGCTTACGTTCAGGGAGGTGTGAGGGGGGAGCGGGAGAGCCTCGGCTTCTGCCCCGCGGAGGGAGCGGGGTCTGGTTTTGGCCACGCCGCCTGCGCGGAGGGAGCGGAGCTTGAGTTCGGCCGAGCCACTGCCGCTGGGGGCGGGGCATGGTTTCAGTCAGGCCTCCTGCACGGGGAGGGGGTGCGGCCTGGTATCAGCCACGCCTCCCGCGCGGGAAGGGGGCGGGCCTAGCGCAGAGAAGGCGGGAAAGCCGAACCTCTGTGCCTTGGAGGGACGGAGGCGGAGATAGAGGGTCCGGTAAAGCTTGAGCCTTCGGCCGCGCTCTCCCAACACCTTCCAGAACGAAGGGGCGCGCTTTGCAAAGGGGCGTCTCCAAAATAGTCATTCCGGGGGCGTGGCGGTGGTGGCCAATGGGGGGCTGAGCACCTTCGCCCTGCAGGGGCGGGGCTGGCGTCGGGTGCGACGTGAGCGTGGCCCCGCCCCTACCTCCGGGTGTGCGGCTCGGCGCGGCCCGGGGGGACGGGGGCGTGGGGGAGCCCTGGGCAGTCCCGGCGTGACTTTTGCGTTTCCCCCGACAGGAGGATGTTGGTGGTGGAGGTGGCGAACGGCCGCTCGCTGGTGTGGGGGGCCGAGGCGGTGCAGGCGCTGCGGGAGCGCCTGGGTGTCGGGGGCCGCACGGTGGGCGCCCTACCCCGCGGGCCCCGCCAGAACTCCCGCCTGGGCCTCCCGCTGCTGCTCATGCCCGAGGAGGCGCGGCTCCTGGCCGAGATCGGCGCCGTGACCCTAGTCAGCGCCCCGCGCCCCGATCCCCGCCAGCACGAACTGGTAAGAGCTAGGGGACCCTAGGTGGTGGGCTCCGGGAGACCCCTTTCTGGAAAGCGTGGTCGGGAGGCCTGGGGGGGGGGGGCCGCAGAGTGCGTCTTGGGGCTCCAGCTACGTTTATTTCGTAGGCTCTGGCATCATTCAAGCTTCAGCAAGACCAGAGTTTCCGGGAGCAAAGCGCGTTGGCCGCCAAGGCTCGGGAGACCCGGCGGCAGGAGCTCCAGGAGAAGATAGCAGAAGGCCAGGCTGCCAAGAAGCAGAGGTTGGAGCTGGATTCGGGGGCGGCTGGCGGGAGCCAGGCTGCGGAAGAGCATGACTCCAGGGATGGGCAGGCTTCTGGGGAGCAGGCGGGAACAGGTGAGAGCCGGATCTGGATGGAGGCCTGGGATGGATCGGGGCTCCAGGGAGTTCTGGCCAGCCTTCCCTGGGGGTAGGAGGACTTTGTCCTTGAACTCACCGGACTCTCCTCCCCCCCCCCCCCCCCCACCGCACCCCCAGTCCTCTCCTCTTCCCAACCAGGACCTTCAAATGAGGTGGCTCCGCTGCCCAGATCGGCCCAGCTTGTGCAGCTGGCCACCGCCAGGCCTCGACCTGTCAAGGCTAGGCCTCTAGATTGGCGGGTCCAGTCCAAAGACTGGCCCCATGCGGGCCGCCCCGCCCACGAGCTTCGCTACAGTATCTACAAAGACCTGTGGGAGCACGGCTTTTTCCTCAGTGGTGCTGGCAAGTTTGGCGGTGACTTCCTGGTGTATCCTGGTGAGCGCAGGCCCCAGCTCTGCTGGCTGTCTTTCCACTCCTACGTGTGTTCTGCGTCTTCCTGTTTGTGTCGTGGTTTTTTCCTTAAGTGTCTGAAACCTTTAAGACAAGCCACATTCCTCTGGTGCTCATCTGCAGTGGGGCTTAAGTAACTTGGTAAACAGACTGAGGGTCCACACACACCTGTGCAGAAACTCCCAGATAGAACTGCAAATTTGGGAAGGAGCCAAATGTAAGTTGTCAAGGCAACAGCATTAGTGACCAAAAGTCATGGAAGTCCATGTGTACTTATAAAAGAGATGACAGAAAACGTCTATGGGAAAAGTTTTATTTTTATTTAGATATGAAGATGCCTATATGTCATTTAAATTACCACCAAAGCTATGGATTTACGTTACTTTAGGTCCAGCCTTTTATTAGCAATATAATCTTTGGTCTTACAGATATACTGTAAGATCTTAGCCAGTCTGGTTTACTCATTTCTATCTTTTTGGTAATTATGTGATTAAGTGACTTTGTAGCTATACGTTAGTGCTACTATACTTTTTTTTTTTTTTGCAGTACTGGAGTTGGAACTCAGTCTCACACTTGCTAAACTCATGTTCTACTGCTGACCCATACCTTCGGCTTCTTTGTTTTCCTATTGGTTGAGATTGGCTCTTGCTTTTTCCTTGGGCCCATACCTGGATCCTCTTATTTTACTTTTCTATCATATTTAGAATGACAAGTATGCCACAACCCCCAACTTCTTCCATTGAGATGGAGGCTCTCAGTATTTATTTATTTTTGTCTATTATCTTCCCTGTCCGTTCTCCCTATAGCTTTCAGTACCAGTTCTTGCCATTAGGAAGAAACCTTGAGAAGTAGATTTTTTAGGTCACATGGTGCTGAAATGACCCTGGGTCCCTGTACTGGTGTCTTCCAACCCTCTGCCTTTGGGAACCCCTACATGCCCATCTCCCTCTCGCAGGTGACCCGCTCCGCTTCCATGCCCACTACATAGCTCAGTGCTGGGCCGCTGAAGACCCCATCCCACTCCAAGATCTGGTCTCTGCTGGCCGCCTTGGGACCAGTGTCAGAAAGACACTGCTGCTGTGCTCTCCTCAGCCTGACGGTAAGGTGGTCTATACCTCCCTGCAGTGGGCCAGCCTGCAGTGAGCACCACCACCCAGGGCTCACACCTGACCCTCAGCAAGAGCCTTCCCAGATGGCCCAGACTCATCTCTGCACTCACCTCTGCGTGGAGGTCAGCACCCCTGATTCCCTGTATGTTGACCCTAGGGTTCAGAACACTACAACTTTTTTAGGCTCAGCCTACTTCTAGGCACTAACTAATTGGGCTGCTTTTGTAGTTTATCTGTTTCCAAACTGTGAGCTTCTTCACAGAGGGTCTAGGTTTGACCCCTCTCTGTTTTGTACAGGGCTTAGATCTCAATGAATTTTGTTGAATAAATGTCAAGTTTGTGATTTTTTTTTTAGTCCTTGACACATCATGCAAGGGTGGGGTGCTTACTCAGGTGAGAAAAAGGAGGGCAAATAACTTGCCCAGAATCACTCAATTGTAAGTGGTGGAGCTGGGCTTTTACCTGGCCTTTCTTTTTTTGGGGGGGTGGGGTGGGGCAATCTGAGGTTTGAACTCAGGGCTTTGTGCTTGTGAAGAAGGTGCTCTGACACTTCAGCAACACTCCCAACCAGGGGGCAAGACTGGGAGTTGAGCTCAGGGTTCCATGTTTGCAAGGCAGGGCTCTTATCACTTGAGACTGTTTGGCGATTAACTTATAAACACATTCTCTACCCTCAGTTCTTTAGGGGGTTTTGTCTTCTTGTTTTTTGGTGCCAGTACCAGGCCTTCGTTGTTCATTCATGGTCTTGCTCACAACTAGCACTCTACTGCTTAAGCAAAGTATCCAGTATTAGTTTCTTGCTGGTTAATTGGAGAGAAGAGCCTCTCAGATTTGTCTGCCTAGTCTGGCTTCAATCCTTGATCTCTGATCTCAGCCTCTTGTGTAGCTAGGATTACAGGTATGAGCTGCTGGTACAGGTGGGACAAAAGGTGAAGATACATTTAAAAGTTTCATGGGTTAGGTGATGAGGTTGTCCCTTAGAGAGCCCAGGCTGGGGCATAGCCTAGTAGGGTGCACTTGCCAAGTATGTGTGTCACTGGGTTTAATATCAGCACTGTAGGAGTTAAAACAAAACTGGCCACTAGTGTCTCAGGCTTGTACTCATAGCTACTCAAGAGGCTGAGATCTGAGGATGGTGGTTTGAAGTCATCCCAGGCAGAAAAATTCATGAGACTTTTATTCTCACTTGAGCTTTGGCTCAAGTGGTAGAACGCCAGCCTTGAGCAAAAAAGTTAAGGGACAGTGCCCATACCCTGTTCAATCTCTAACAGTTGGAAAAACAATTATAAAAAGCCTCTGCTGTTCATTGCATATATGATCT